TGGTATGGGTCTGTTTCCAAAGTCAGGCAAGATTTCTTCCACCCGTAGGGCTCTGTGTTGCGTTGCTTCATGTCCTGCTTGCTGAACCAGTGAACACACCAGCCAACACTGCGTCAATGCCTCCGTCAACCAACCAACAACCCAACCAACCAACCAACCAAACAAGTGACTGCCCAACCAAGCAAGCAAGGCAACCAGACTGGGTTTCAACCAACCTACCACCGTCTCACTTTCTGTGGCTTTTTCGTTTGACGCAGGTGTTCTTTGCCATGTCTTAGCTTCCTCCCACGCGCACCTTGCACTGAGCGCCCTAGTGCGCACGCGCTGTGTCTGCCGGTGCGTCAGCCGGCCCCTCGCTTCGTCGCAGCTTTGTCTACTCAGCGATAGAAAGCTTTGCTCTAAGCTTCTGTCCGAGTCCGAGTCATAGTGCCGCAATAGGCAGCTGCTCTTCGCTCCCAACCCTCTGACGCAGGCGCCTGGCAGGGCAAGAAACTGGCAAGTCTTGCCAACATGGACCCCATTTTGGTTTGCTTGGGCCGGACCTTCCACATAACAGGCATCACTTATGATGCTTTCCTCTCTGGCCTGAGTAATTATAAACTTGGGAGTTGAGGATAATATTTCAGGTAAGTTTAAATAGGTCCTACCCTGTCTGAGCCACGGAAACGGCATCAACGGAAACATGGTTTCCCAGACCTCCAGTGCTTCGTTTCCGCTTTTTTGGGAGCGGGTTCCTTTGAAATCGTGACGTGGTTGAAGTACCTGATGTACCTGCTTGGAACGTGCCAGTTCCAAGGAACCCGTAGCCCGTGATATTGGAGAGGAGCCACGGCAGCCGGTCGACGCTCGCCCGACACGACCTGAGGCTGGGTCCCCAGATGGCGCATATGACGGAGTTGCAGCGGCGCCGGATCGAAAACAACCCTGCGAGGCGCGGTGCTTTTGGAAGGGTCCCGAGTGGATCCAGTTGCAAGCCACAGGCATGTGGATCCATTTATCTTCTAGGTAGCCGATGGAACCACCCGAAAAACAAAAGAGACACTGGCTGGTTACCTGCCCAGGCAACATCCACCCTGCAGCGTTGCGGATCACAGCAGTATCGGCTTTGTGAGCAACTTAAGACCCGAACTGGGGCCTCCTCCAGGATAGACTAGATATATTCAGATATGATGCATAATCCGAACATGTATCGTTGGTATAACATACGCCAGAGAAGGGCCAAGCTAAGAGCGACATTGAGGCCGAACAAAATGTTTGAGGAAGCCAGGGAACCTTCGGGAGGTACGGGAGGCAAGATCCTAGGAGTGGAGGGTGAGGAGTCGGGGGTTTTTGCTACTCCCAAATTGGGCGACTCGCCTTGGTAGTCGATGTGGGCTGCTCAGAAAGATCATGGTGCCTAGCCCAAATACGACCCAAGTAAGGCTTTATTAAGGGCCAACTCCCCTCCCTCGCCCCCAGGGCTCATGAAAAGAGGAGCCCTTTCAAAAGCGATTCCTCCACAAACTGTTTGCCGTTTCGAGTTCCATGTTAGTTTCAATACGATGGCCACTTTGCAAGGAAGCCGTAGTGTTTGGTTTGATGTGCCTTCCAAAACAGGCGCCTGTGTTGGACAACTGCCGACTGCTGAAGTTGTCAGCTTGTTAGGCGCGAGATGATGCGGTGGCTGTACATGGCCCAGCAGGAGGCGGGTGCGGAACTTAACCAGGTTATGTGAAATGCCATCACATGCATGGAGCAAACACTGTAGGGCCTTCAGCTAAACCAAAAATATGTAATGAATACAGGGTAAAGATGGGATAGCCATGATTTGAGCAAGCCATGATTTATGGTTTTTCCGCCTTCTGTGTTCAGCTTCCAAACTTTAGGTTGTTTGTTGCCAGGGGTTTTAACCAGTGAAGTCTAGGGCCCAAAAGCTTAAACTTGTTTAGCCAGTCAACTCAGGTCAGCATTTGAGCAACTGACAGAAGATGTTGGAGGATGCCAGCCCAACTTTCCTCACCTTGTCGCGGTGTTCGTGACTCGCATGGGAACCACCGAGGTGTCGAAGGCCATCAATGGCAATGGACGGTGGCTGTGGTTGTTTGTTCGCCAAACACGTTGTAAGGTTGCTCCGATCCAAAAAGAAACAATGATCAAGCCACATTTGGGTTGAAGGAATTGTTTTGGGTCCTGTTACTTTTCCTGGGACCAACATGTTCTACCCGTGTGAAAGGGTTTCTGCAGCACTCCCGACATTTTGTCTACCAAGGACCAAGCAGGCAAACCAGAGAGGCTTTGAAAGACATGATGGGAGTGAGGCAGGGTTTGGCCAACCCCTTGATTACACAACGTTTAATCCACCCCTGTTTGAACAACCTGCTAGTGGTTTCCAGGATCCCGTTGTGTCATATTTCTCCCAACCCTGTAAATACTTTGGGGCATTTAATTTCAAGGTGCTCAGGGCGCTTTTGAAAGGCGCTGCATGGGGTTGCAGGGTACTGGCGAGTGGGAGTGCTTTTGCGATGCATAAGACGGTGGTTTGTAAGGTGCTATCACGAATTGAAGGTATGGTTACTTTGCGCTGCTTGTTCAAGGCAAGGGAATGCGCTTTCTAACAACGTTCTGTGTTAAAGTGGTGGTGCCTAGAGTGCTGGTGGTGGCTGAGTGCTAGCAAACCAGATGAGTGCTCACGGTTGTTTCGCACCCGTCAGGTGTGGCACCTGCAAATCTATAATCCAATCCTTGCTTTCTGGGTGCTAAAGTTGGGATTTGTCCACCCACCAAGGTGGAACCGGGCAGGCCCCCACACCATTTTCCTCGAGACCTACGAAACCTCGGAGCCCGGAACAAAAAGGGATGGGTTGTGTCGTTGACCTATGTGGGTATGACAAAATCGGGAGACCCCAGAACGGAGTGTGTTTCTCCTTCTAGGTTTCCCTTTGAACCAACCTGCACCCATTCGAATGCCAGGAGCTTGGAGGACCCATTCGAAGCCCTGGGGTGCGGAAGCCTGATCGGAATGGGTGACGAAAGAACCCCCCAAAACTCCAAGGGCTCAGGGCATACTTTGTTGTTTTTGTTTTGAGGGCTGTCCTTTGTTCAAGTTTCATAACAATATGCCCCGTCTTGCCTATGGCCACTGGAGATCTGAGATATCCTGTGCACTGGAACCACTGGAGGGTCCTTGTAGGAAAATGATATTCCAGGATCCCCGCCAATTAAGTTCGGCATTGCTCCAAGCCTCAACGGCAAATTTGTTTGTAACTGATTCTGCACTGGGCCCCGGAAGTTGCATCCGGAATCGACTGCAACCCAATCACTGACAGGGCACCAAGGCCCTTTTCAGGCGCCTTTGAAAGTGCTCCTTGATTCTTTGTGGAGGCTGCGAAGCGTCCCGAGCTGCAATTTTCCCTCACGAGACTCACACGGCATGCCGATGCAACTTGGCTTGTTGGCTCACCAAGATCTTAGCGCAGGATCAAGGGGTTTATCCCCACTTGTGTGGGAATCCCCCTTTTATGAACGGATTCGTCTTTGGGAAGCCCTTTCTGTTGCAAAGCCTCAACACATATTCAAGATATTAAACCTGGAAACTAGGTGATGAACCGAAAGTTAACACCAAGGTTGGGGGAATTGCAGTTTTCTTTGCAGAACATTTTGGATTGAGATTCAGGGGAGGCATGCAGTTGGCAGAATGTGTGGCAGCACGGTGCCACACCCAACAGGTGTCTTTGGAGAGTGGCAGCTAAGCGCAAGAAGATGCCTTTCTGCTCAAATTACATCACGGCCTCGCCTTCAAGGCATGGGCCACCTCGAGCCTTATGACCAAGATGTTAGTATACCATTTGTACCCTGATTTGTCATGTCTGACTTGTTACGGACCAAGCTGCTGACGCAGTTCTCCTTTGAGCTACCTTGAGTAGCGTGTGCAAGAACCATGGCCTTTGCTTGAGATAGACCAACTATGATCAGCTTTGCTGGTGCTGGATATAATGTACTCTGCTTCCTGGAGTTGCCCCTAGTTGTACCAAGCCCCAACTTCCATCGATCAAAAGGTGTCAAACGAACCTCGGACTCGATTCTTTGTGCAGCCGTTGCTCACGTGTCGCTCCGCGCGCTTGACATTTGCGCGGAGGTAGCGGAGATATCCGTGAGATCCTTACAGGTATGCCGATGAAACATATCCGTTAGGATGAACATGCGTGAACCCCTTTGACATATCAATCGATGGTCTTCCCCCTTTGACCATAAAAGGGTGTCCTCGAAAGCTCGCACCCACATGCCGGCAAGCCGACCGCTTTAAACAGAACAGTAGTTGTTGTTATTTTCCTCGCCGTGTCATGATGCCTGAAAACAAACTCGGTCCTCTCCAAACTGTCAATGTGTTTCATCCAAATCTGGAGAGGACACTCAGTATTGGGGGAATCGGATTAAACATGTGCATGAACACACACACACACGTATACATACACAGACATGAGCACACACACACACACACGCACGCACTCACGCACGCACGCACGCACATGCACCCACACACACACACACACAGACACACAGACACACACACACAGACAGACAGACAGGCAGACAGACAGACAGACAGAGACAGACAGACAGACAGACAGACAGACAGACAGACAGACAGACAGACAGACAGACAGACAGACAGACAGACAGACAGACAGACAGACAGACAGACAGACAGACAGACAGACAGACAGACAGACAGACAGACAGACAGACAGACAGACAGACAGACAGACAGACAGACAGACAGACAGACAGACAGACAGACAGACAGACAGACAGACAGACAGACAGACAGACAGACAGACACACACACACAGACACACACACACACAGACACACACACACACACAGACATGAGCACACACACACAATTCATGCTCTTGCATGTCTTTAGGTGCAACATGTTTATATGCGCTCCTTACACATCTAGGCCCATTTGCCGAAACGGAGCAGGTTGCAAAACGAGAGCGTGCAGCTTTCCGGGCGCCATGAGCGTCACCAAAACCTCTGGCCGTCCGACGGTGGTGGGCATCTCCGGACCGACGCGCGCTGGGAAGACGACCTTGGCCTATGGCCTGGCGCAAAGGCTCTGTGGGGAGGACGCATGTGACAAGTCCGGTTCAGCGCACTTGTCCATCAGCTTTTTTGGTGTGGGTTGCTATACCTGGTGTTTGGAAGGGTGTGCCTTTGCGGCCTTGTCATCTTCTGAAGGTAGGACGTTGTGTACACTCAAATTACAGGGAAATTGTGGGGGGGGCGGGGGGTGGCGTTTGCCAATTTAGGTAAACATCTACGCATCAGCCAAGGTAGATTGAGTGTTTGTTGGCAACTGGCAAGGGCGCCGTTCATGTCCAACTTGGACAGGAACTTGTTAGGGGCAGTGGCTCAAACATGATTGAAAGGTCTGTTTCCAGATGGATCATTGCCTCTGGTTTATGGATGGTGGTCAAACATTAAGGAACCTTTCTGGACGGTGGCTCAAAACAAGACATGGAACCGCACACTTGTACAAAGATTAGGCTATGTCCCGCTCGCATGGAACTCACCATAAGTTCCCTTTAGGAGGAATATTGTCCCAGGGATTCCAGGGACCTCCTGTCATGCTTCATGTTAGTGCTTGGGATACCTCAACCATTGTTCTTCGGTCCTGGTACTGGTTCAGGATTGGTGCAAGCCCTCTTAGAAATCATCCCCTCAAGGGGCAGGTCTATGTATCATCTTTGGGAAGGCCCATTTCAAGTGAGGTTCGGCCCTCCACACGGGAACTGGTTGGGAAAGTCGGATTCCAGGGCGACGTGAATCCTTTGTGCCATGGTCAAAGCACCCCTGTACATGCGTTTGGTATGGTCATCAACCTCTGAGGTGCTTGTAAACAACCAACGCAAAGGTTCCTAATGGAACAATGCATGAACATGACTTGTTACCGTGGCACATGTAGGCGCATGGTGTAAGAGTTTTCATCATTAGAATAAGATTGTAGGCAGAAATTAATCAACATGAAGTAGAATGTGTGTATTCAACATGTTACCAGGCGTATCCTCCAGAACTATTTTGTGTATGAAGAAAAATCGACTAGATATGAAGCAGAATCCAGCTGATTTGGCGCATTTGCGAGGACAAGCCATTCAGCAAGTGCCGGGGCCGCGACAGGGTGGATCGCTTCATGCGAGGAGGGCCAACTTGGGCACAGGGAGCGGCCCCGGTTGCCCCCCCTGATCTCCAGTGGTGCCCGAATTTGTTTGTGCAACCACCAACACACAGTGCCCCTTTTTCTCTCATGGCCACTGGAGGTCTGAGAAATTGGTTTGCCATTTGGTTTGGGAGGGTCCTTTCAACATCAAGAAAACACATCTCAAAATAACTATTTACATCGACAGCCGGCCACGGGGAACGACCCACCCACACATGTCACTTCCTTCCATGTTCCATCAATTTTCCGTGCTGCCATGTTCCACCTATGTTCCATCCATTTCATCCACGTTGCATCCATTTTGCACCATCTTCCATCAATTTGTCTATCCATTGTCCACGAATTTGCCGCCCATTTTCCATCCATTGTCCATCTATTTGTCCATCCAGTTTCCATGAATGTTCCATCCATTTTCCACACATGTCCCATCCATGGTCCATCAACAATCAATTCCATCCACATCTGCATCCCCAGCATCACTTGCATCATCCGATCAATGTCTGCCACGGATGCCGATGATGCAGGGGATGCTGTCCACTATGGGCACCCAAATGGGCAAACATCGCCTAATCAAATACGCAGCGAGATGCTACACAAATTTGCAAAAATCGCCTAAACAAGTCGGAGCATGGTCGGCGGCATGGCGCGGACATCCTTAAACCTGAAGGCAGCCCTCGGTGGCCGGATTTACGTTGCTGGCGCACAACCGGCCGCGGCAGCATCGCAATGCTCAACAACAACCAATAACAACCAAACAACAACCAACAACAACCAACAACAACCAACAACAACCAACAACATCCAGCAACAACCAGCATGCACCAACAGCAGCCAACAACAGCCAACAAGACAGCAACCAACAAAAACCAACGCGCACGCACACATGCGCGCGGGCACGCACGCACAAACGCGGCGCATGCCCGCTTTTGGGATGTTTTTGTTAGAGCTTTCCATTTGGCCTGCTTGGTCGGCCTGCTGCTTTTCGTGAAATGTCTTTTTGTAGAGCTTCCCACGTTCTTGTTGTCTCTGGCTGCCATTGTGGTGAAGGTGGGTGTTTTTGTGGTTCTATTATCTCTCTTTTTTGAAGATTCTATACTATTATCTCAAAGTGGTTCAAGATTTTTGAGTTTTTTCATGTCAAGATTTGAAGTTTTTTAGACTTTAAGATTTCAAGATTCTAATATTTTCAGACTTTAAGGTTTGAAGATCTTAAACTTTAAGATCTTCAGGTTTTGGGATGTTCAGGTTTTAAGATTTGAAGACTTCAAAACTTTATGATTTTTAAAATATGTTTAGATTTTAAGGTTTCAACTTTGTAGATTTACAGATTCTAAGAGTTTCAGGTAAGCCTTTGAGGTTTTAAGATTCTAAGGTTTTAAGATTTCAAGGTTTTGAGGGCTTAAGATTGAAAGGTCTTACGATTTAAAGATCTTAAGATTCTACTATGTTCAGATGTTTAAGGTTTTCATATTTTTAGACTTTAAGATATTAAGCTTTGAAAAACTTAGGATTCTAGTAGTTTGTTTTTTTGGATGTTGAGCTTTCAAGATTCTAATATGTTTAGTATCTAAAGATCTTAAGATTTTAAAATTCTATCATTGCAAAAGTGTAAGATCTTAGGATTCTATTATTCTCACACGTGAAGACTTTAACATTTCATCAAAGACAACAACAGCAAGGCCGGCAGCCCCAGCATCATCTGCATCACCGGCACGGGCCTGCAGACATAAGCCCAAGCCTGCAGACCCGAAAGCCGGCCCAAAACACCCAGACACGCCCGCCAATCCTTCGCCCCTTTTTGGGGCGGGCGCAGCGCACAATTCAGTCTTTCCACGGGTCGGCGGAGCAGCGCCGTTGCTGGCGCACAACCGGCCGTGGCAGCACCACCATGCTCAACCAGCAACAACCAACAACCAATAACAACCAAACAACAACCAATAACCAACAACATCCAGCAACAGCCAGCAAGAAGCAAGAACCAGCAGCAACCAACAACAGCCAACAACAAGCAACAGCAACCAACAAGAACCAACGCGCGCGCGCACGTGCACACACACACACACCCACACGCGGCGCATGCGCGCTTTTAGTCTTTTTCTGTAGAGCTTTCCATGTGCTTGTTGTCTCTGGCTGCCATTCTTTGTGAAGGTGTTTTTCTGGTAGAAGTTTCAAATTTGGCCTGCTTGGTCAGCCGTCAGCCTGCTTCTTTTCGTGATGCCTTTTTGTGGAGCTTGCTATTTGCTGGTTGTCTCCGGCTGCCATGTTTTGTGAAGGTGGGTTTTAAGCTTTCAAGAGACTTTGAGTTTGTAAGATTCTATGATTTAAACATTTTATTTGTTCTCTTCATATTTTAAGATTCTGCGTTTTTTTGAGATTACACGATTTGAACATTTCAATATTTGAGGGTTTCCAAACTGTAAGGTTTTAAGATTCTAACACCATAAAACTTTAAGGCTTAAAGGTTTTAAGTCTTTAAGACCTTAAGGTTTTAGGGTTTTAAGGCTTGAAGATTTGAAGACTTTAATGTTTTGCGATTCTGAAATGTTTAGATTGTAAGATTTCAACGTTTTGAGATTTCAACATTTTAGGACTTACAAATTCTAAGGTTTTAAGAATTAAGGTTTAACATGTTCAAGGCTTAAGATTGTAAGATGTTAAGATTTCCAGGTTTTAAGGTCTTGAGATTTGAAAGGTTTTACGATGCAAGATCTTAAGATCCAAATATGTTCAGATGTTTAAGGTTTTCAGATTTTTTGATTTAGGATTTGACAGAGGCGGTTCTGCATAAACACCTGTTTTGAAACCGCTCGGAAACCCCTCGGAAACCACTCGGAACCCGCTCAACCACTCGGAAGCCACTTGGGAATCACTCGGAGGGAAGTATTCTCGCGGCAGCATAAATCTTGGCAAAGTGCCGGGCAACCCTCCAGACAACCCTCCGGACAACCCCCTGACAACTTCCAAAAATGGGAGCTCGCGCATTGGTCTCAGGCATTGCCGGTCTTGGGAGTGGTGCTAGGACCGGTCCCGGTGTGTTTTTCTCACGGGGAACATCATGAGAATCCAATCGCTTCGTTCCCGTTGCATCCCACGCCGATCCCCTCTGAGAGGCTGGGACGGGAGGCAGAAATTTGGCGGATTTTTGTATTCCCACACAAAAGGTCGCATGATGACCGTGCGGACAAGCTTGATTGGTTGGCAGTGTTGTTCAGTGGCACGCATTTTCCCATTTTGCTGGGTGGATTCCCAACTAAACATGGTCGACCGTAGAAATGGGGTCCCTTTTTCTACCAGGGTGACTGAACAACTGGAAGCAACTTTGTGCCCCCCCCCCCCCCCCCAAGGTGGTTGTTGATCCCCTCTGGGAGAGAACGTCTCGATCCTGCTTTTGCAAACAAGTGCGGGGGTGTTACTTGTATGTGGAGGTTGCCATGAAATTGTGGGCCCACCAAAGTTGATGCTGTAGGTGTCCTCACTAATTTTCTGAGACAGTCTCATTTTGTCCGAGTGGCCCAAAGTCGTCAACCCAGGTTCGTATCCCCCGCTCGGTGTGTCCACAACCATGTTGGCCAGGACAAGGGGAGAAAGGCGGGTATGTGATCAGCGTCATTGGACAAGACTCCTACTTCAAGGGCGGCAAGGAGGACACCGTGTGGGATGCCCCCGAGGCCGTGGGCCGTTGGTGTGTCGGGGATGGTCAAGGACCTTAAAAGGGAATGGCCAACCTGCGCGATTCCTAATCCAAGGAAGTTTGGAAGGAGCTTCCGTGTTGCGGACACACATTGAAAGGGTAGCCCTGCGCAAACATCAGATGAATACATAGATTGACAGACAGGTAGATAGGCAAGCATACAAGCAAGCGATCGATGGATAGAAAGGTGCATACCGACAGACAGAATGATAGACGAATAGCCAGAAAGAAAGTGAGACTAGATAGACAGAAACACTAGGTAGATCGATCGATCGATTGCTTGATTGATCGATTGATTGATTGACTGATTGATTAAACAGACAAACAGAAAGATATGGCCGAGACTTGAGAGCGACAGCGATGTTGTGGCCAGAGTCAGGCCATTGAACCCCTCAGCTCAACACCTTTCAGGTACTTTTGCTCAAACTAAGCAGCGGCGTTTGGTTAAGCTTACTTACCCAGCTCTGGTTGCAGCCGCGGGCAAACCAAATTCTTGCTTCGCCTCTGGAAGTGGCTACAGCGAGCAAAAGGCACATGGGTAGATGGTGGAACGATAGGTAGATAGGTGGATAGAAAGAAAGCCAGATGCAAGACAAATAGATGATGGATGGACAAATTGACCGGACAAATTGGGCCTAGACATAGGCAGGTACAGCAGGCAAGATAGATGGACAGTTTAGACTAGATAGGTAGACGGGTAGACAGGGTTGATAGAACGTTTACAGAAACAGATAGACAGACAGACGTCTAGGTAGGCAGATAGACACACAGACGGACCGATAGAGAGACAGACAGACAGATTGACAGATAGCTGGATAGAAGAATACACACCAGACAGTTAGATAGATGGACGGATGATGCCGCTTCAGGCCACACGAGCGCACGGGGAACCCGCAGCCAAACATGCCAGACTCACGCAGTCGACCGCAAAAGGGCGAGTGCTGGGCGGGAACTGCGGGTGCGTGTTTGGGCAGAAGCTGTGACCCGCCGTGCTCAGACAGCGAAAGAGACGGACGTTGTTTTGAGACACAGAGAAACAACAGGAGGAAGAGAAAGGAAAGAGACGAAAAAGACAGAAGAAGAGGAAGAGGAAGAGACAGAAGAAGAGGAATATGACAAAAAGGGAAAGAGGAAGAGAAAGAGAAAGAAGAGAGAGCGGGCGAGAGAGAAAGATCAAGAAAAGACAGAGAAAGAAAGGGAAGGAGGAAGAGAAACAGAAAGCAGAGAGAGAGAGAAAGAAAAGAATGGAAAAGCAAGACAGAGAGAAAGGGGAGAGAGCGAGAGAGAGAGAGAGAGAGAGAGAGAGAGAGAGAGAGGCAGAACCATAATTCCTTTGTTTTCCCCAACAGCTGAAAGCTTTGGGGTCTCAGCCGAGATAGGCTCCGGGGTGGTCCGGGGCGGCCCTGACATAAGGTTCCACGAGGGTTCCACCAGGGTTTTACCAGGATTCCACCAGGGTTCCACGAGGTTCTGCGAGGGGCGGTGCGAGCACTAAAAAGAGCACCGCATGCTGTTGGGGATATCACCTGAGCTTGTTGAAGCTTCCGCCTTTGCTGGTTCTACTTGAAAATCTGGGCCTGAAAGCCTGAGCCACCCTGCGTTTCTCTTCTTCTACCTTTTTTTTGTAGGTGCTCCGGAGTGGTCTGGAGCGGCTCCAAGGTCGGGTTCCGGCTGCGTCTTTTGTGCAGGGTTTTGGAGGAACCGGAAGGTTGCGGAAGGTTCCATGGAGCGTGTCCCTTGGGCTTTGCGAGGCTCCAGGGCTTCATGTAGCGGCCGCCAGAAGGCTTCCAGGACAACTCCAAAAGCGGAGGTTTGGGAGGTTGACGTTGCAAATGCCACGCCCTTCTTGAGTAACAATGAGTTAGCACATGGACCGCCAATTGTGGCCCACCCATTTCCTGGAAAATCTGCTACAGTGCGAGCGCTGTATAAGAAATCGGTTGGTCGAGGCTCAGGGGTGCTGAATTTCTTAGCGCGTCCATTTCGTCTTTAAAAGAGCTGGTTTCTACAGCTGGAGCCACGGGGATGGATTTTAGCCAACTTCTTATCCTTGTCTTCGTTTAGGACACAATTTCTTAGCAAGGGGCCCTTCATCGCCCGAAAAGGCGCAAAGGGGCACTTCATCGCCCGAAAAGGCCGCTGAGAAATCCAGCCCTTGAATTTCTTAGCAAAGGGGCACTTCATCGCCCGAAAAAGCCGCTAAGAAATCCAGCCCCTGAATTTCTTTGCAAAGGGGCACTTCATCGCTCGAAAAGGCCGCTGAGAAATCCAGCCCCTGAATTTCTTAGCAAAGGGGCACTTCATCGCCCGAAAAGGCCGCTAAGAAATCCAGCCCCTGAATTTCTTTGCAAAGGGGCACTTCATCGCTCGAAAAGGCCGCTAAGAAATCCAGCCCCTGAATTTCTTAGCAAAGGGGCACTTCATCGCCCGAAAAAGCCGCTAAGAAATCCAGCCCCTGAATTTCTTTGCAAAGGGGCACTTCATCGCTCGAAAAGGCCGCTGAGAAATCCAGCCCCTGAATTTCTTAGCAAAGGGGCACTTCATCGCCCGAAAAGGCCGCTAAGAAATCCAGCCCCTGAATTTAGCAAAAAGGGGCCCTGCCTTGGCGTGCGGAGGTGGTTTGCTTCCTCGAACAAGCTACAAGTTGGCTAAGGAATTGCACGAAAAATCAAGAAAAACTCCAGGGGGGGCTCAATTTCTCAGCAGCAAACGCAGTTGCAACCTTCTTGGTTTGGGAATCCCGGCCCCTCAATTTCTTATTTCTTATGCAATGATTTCTTCTACAGTGCTTGCGCTGTAACTGCATGCATTGGTTGGGTATGCTGGCACTCTTGTGGAGAATGGTCAGAAAGCTTGCCATTGGAAATCTTCCGCCGTCAAGGGAGCCCGCCATAGCTGGCTGGGTGTGCCAAAGGGCCACCCCCCTTCAGAAGCCCCCCCTTCAGAAGAATGAGATTGCACCCCGGTGTCAAAGGTGGCCCCATGTCGAATCACCAGGCCATCGATCACGACTGGGTGCTAAAGGCGCTCCACGAGGAGCTGGAAGAGCCGCTGGCGAATTTGGTGGTCTTCGAGGGCTTTAAGGAGCGGGCGACGTACAGCTAGACACCAAGTCGACCGGCGACATTTGTTCAATCATCCCCTGCCAAGCCCAAAGTAGGCCGCGGAAAGCGTCGTGTCAAGACAAATTTCGGAGATACCAAGGGAATGTGACAAAACAGTTTTACACAGTGACAGCTTCTCCTTTTGGAGGGGATCAAAACCAAGGGTAGAACATTGGGTTGTTTTCTTTGGTTTGCATGGACCGCGAACCAAACTGGATTTCTTTCTTACTTTGTTCTTGGTAATGTCACAATTTACGACAAGCGCCACCCTGTTTGTGCAACTTAGGTTTCAGTACAGCAGCTGAACTATTTGCCTGTTGAATTGGCAAATTTGCAACTTGTTCATCGCAAGTTTTTAACTGTGCGTTTCTCATTTTAAGCAAGGCCCACACAGTATTCTTTGCCTTTTCATCGGATCCAAAGCCCTCCAGCACCCCTTGAGCCCCTGCTCCGTTTCCAAAGGATAAAGCCTTACTTACGGCCTGCAGGTCTGGTTTGGCCTTGGCATCAGGCCTTATTCAGGCATGAAACCTAGAGTTGGCAACAGGTTTGGCATCCGTCAGGCCTATTGGTCGCCGGAGGTGGTGAAGCACCTGGACCTGCTGTTTTGGATTCAGGTGAAGGCATGGAACGAGCTCACCGATTTGGCATTAGACGATCGACAACCTAAAGTTTTTGAAGGTCCTGCCTGTACTTGTGGGGATCCCCGAATTCCAACTTGTCATCGAAAGCAATTTGCTTGGATGGGTCTGCTTCCCAGAGGCCTCACCAAGGGGATGGATGTTTGCTTGAACACGAACAGGCCTGGAAACGGTTCTGGGAATTGGTTGGGCAAAACGTCGGAAAGGCTGAGGGTCAACGCAATGGACATCCCTCCAAACGATAGGCGTCCTTGCAGTCCCCAACTTACTTTGGGGCCCATGAAGGAGGTGGGTAGAAAGTGGGTGAATGAACGCTCCAAGTTAGAACAAAAGGTTTCCTCACCCTCACCGCCTTAAACAATTGCTGATCACACAGCGGGCGCATTTGGACCCATGTTGATTGGGTTCCTTGTGGTCAGGTCTTTATCAAGCAAAAAGGGGCGTCCCAAGAAATGCACACACGTTTCATATTCTATGTTGTGGAGAAGACTGGAGAGCAAAAACGATGCCCCCCTCTCCTTGAGGTAGGGGGGTAGGGTGGTTAAAATAGGGCACTTCCTGTGCTAGCAAGAGGCCTTCCCTTTTGCATAGCCAAACTGTGGAATATTGAGTTGTAACCACTTGGACAAGCCCCCCTGTTCCCCCACGTTTTGCCATGGTTGTCTCCTCACTAAGCAGGTTGAACATCCAAGGCCACTTTCGGCCACATCTCACCCCTTTCAAGATGTGCTTGGATAGAGGGCGGCTTTCCTGGTTCCATGATCGGGGACGCCCCCCCCCCCGCCTTTTTCTTCAGGTAAGGGACCCGGGAGGCGCGGGTGTGTAATCTGGTCCAGCTGGACAGCGGCCAGGAAGACACGTGCCAAAAAAGAAAAATGAGAAACAAGAACGTCACGGATGAAGTCTGGCAGGAAGCTGGGCTACAAATTTGGTTTGAGTGCAGGTGGACCAGAGCAGCAGAATATTCTCAGCGGTTTGTGTTAATCATGCGTAGTTGAGCTTGTTTTTTGCCAAATCAGTGCAGACAGACTTGCGATATTGGTCCATCAAACAGGATGAGGCCAACCACAGACATCCGGCACGAAGGGTTAGCTCTTTGTGCAAGGGATGCCAGCTTGCAAGTGGCCCCTTCTCTGTTCAGGCCTAAGTTTTTTGGGGCCATTTAATAGGCATTTGTGTTGCGGCGCTCTCCTCGACGGGGGATGGCGGAAATGGGAAAGAACACATTCAAGCGCTGATGTGGGGTTCCATATTTTTCGACCTTGAGCATGCCAAGATGCCGATAGCTCTTGTGGAGAGCCATTAAAAGATGATCTAGAGTCAACCAAATCGGTAGGTCCCGTGGTTCTGAGAGTTTAGGAA